ATCTAAAATGGGCTGGAAGTCCACAAAGCGGAGGTTATCAGAATTGTCTTGCCTGGTACTGGTACATAGAACTAAACCTGTGAGCAGAACGGAATTGGCACTTTGCCAGTCTTCAAGTGCCTCTTAGTGATTCTAATGGCTCAATAAATCCGTTGGTAATCGTCATTTATGAAACTTCGTCTGAAAAACTTGTCATGAGACCGGATGGTCAGGTTTTGAGGGAATGAAGGAGGACGCAAAGGATGCAGCTCGTTAGAGTGAATGGCATTTGAAGAATTGAACGACGGCAGACCTTCCAGTTAGAAAGCCCATCGGAAAGAGGCATTTTGGCCAAAGAAAGGGGCGTACTCTTTTGTGGAAAGGAGTATTACTGAGCGAATAGAATGATTAAGCGAGTGCGCCACGCCCCAAAGTCGGCTCTAGTGACGACGCATTTTATGCGCACGGGGTCAGTTCCCGGCTCGAATCGCGCCCAGGCCACTTGAGCTTTCCATCCTATTCAGAGATAGGATTAATATCGCACTTGCATGGCAGGGCAAATGCTGGCCTATAACGGAATCTTCCATTGAAAAGGCATGATTCAGCTCACTATGGAGGTCGAGACCCATATTTCACGATAAGCAAGAAAAAAATTGTGTGTTTTCGTCAGCAATTCGAAAACCGGAAGAACTGTTGCGCGTTCAAATTCCCGCCGGACATCTTCCACAAATGTTGGTTACGGAAACGTTTTTTACTTTGATCACGGATGCTTTGCGCTGAGAGTACTTTTCTCGCGTTTCACCTATAGGATATGACTTTCTTTTACGTATGCATATATTCTATAGGGCGGAAGTGGTGTAGTGACAAGTGGCGCGCTTACCACGCGAGCGGTCCGGGGATCAAATCCTGGGTCGTGAGTCGCCCGGGCCAACCAAGCCTTCCATCCCTCCGGGGTCGGTTAATTGGTACCAGACTTGTCTGGGAGGATAAAAACACTGACTTGAACATCGGCTGGCCCCCGCAAGTCATTGTATAGGCCACATCGCATTCAAATGCCACTGCGAATGTACAAATGGAAGTAGAATGCGTGCCGCATCCCAAAAAGGGATTGATCAACGGCAAATGCTTTATCCTTTTATCCTTTATATCGTATCGATCGTTAGTCTATTCTTACGAAGTCTTAAGCTTTCAACCGATGCTTTTTCAATGGGCCTCGCCTGCATACTGGGGGCTGGCCCGAGCGCACTCCTGACATGCGTTTCTCTGTGTCTCCGCCCGACCTACCCGCGATCGTCCTCAGAATGTGAGTTCGCAGGTTGTTTCTCTTCGACAAAGTGAATTTTCTTGGGTGAAACTTTGTGCGTTACCTCTAGTGACCACTAACGTCACAACCTAGGACGACTTCAGGTGGAGACTTCTTTTTGGGATAGGATATAACTGCTGCCCGAAGATTGCCCAGACGCGTTCTCCTTCTCCGGCTCTGAGAGGGGATGGAAAGCCTTTTACAGAGGCTGCTCTACCGCTTTCATTTCTTCACGCCCGCAAAATCCTGATATCTGCGCTCTCTCATCCATGGTACTCCATCGCCTATGCTCTCTCCTCCTTCTAGTTCTCTCATTACCTCAGCAAAAATATGCAAGCCCTCACCTTTATTGTTTTCGATGCATTCTTTCTTTTTCACTGCTGGCCCACTTTACTGCGATGTTTTCATTTTCGCATGTAGGATCGACACCAGTTTGATCCTGGTACGTGCATTTAGCGCTCTTCTGTATCGGATTTTTAGTACATTTGGAAGCAGCACCCAGGCGTGAGAGAAATCACTGTATGGTGGGTTTCTCTCAGCACCGTTAAATCGGGAATCTTCAGCAGTTACTACAAATAGATACTCTCTTTTCTATAACCGTGCATGCACTAATTGCAGACCCAACAGCACCCCTACTGACGGTCTCGGAGAAGCAATATTGCCTTGTGCTTTCTGTTGCTTTCTGATCGCATTTGGCAATATTACTTGGAAATTTCGGGACGCGTTCAGAGATTTGATAATATTTCAAGCGATCAATGTTATGGCTCAATTTTCTTTTTCCAACTTTTCAAATTAGAATTCTTTGGTTAATTTATAAACCGCCTTGAACGTTCGAACGGCGTAGAAGAAGGGTTACCTTACTGAACCGACGCATTCTCTCAAGAAGCAAGGCAGATGTAGCAAGAGGGACGCTCGTCCTGGAGAACCTGCGAAGCCAATATCACTTACGGGTAGAAATCGAGTAGAAATAGTCCCGTCTAGTAAATTAGATCGACTCTTGGTTTATAATTAGTACTTGAGAAATATTGTAGTTGTGAGTAGATATAGCCGCTGAAGGTTTCGTGGGAAACTACAATTATTGCTCCCGAGTGAACAGAGCTGAATAGTGAAATCTTGGTAGTGAAGGAGAATTACAGATTCCGGTGCTTCCTAGATCCTAGAAAACGAGCATAGGAACCGAGGAAGCAATGTGGAGAGAACGAAAAGCGAGTGACTGCGAAACGGCGGCTGGCTGGCCTAATCTTGACAGATGATCTAAATCAGAGCCCAGTTTTTCATAACGGTAAGCCCCTTTATCTTGCCACGTCGTCTCGATGTGCTAAACATTCTTTACTCTACTGGCGACCGAAAAAGTCGAAACGCGAAGGAATTCATCAGCGGGGCTGGAGTATCTCTGAGCTGAGGCAAAGGTGGAAATAGTCCAATGGCTGAATATTCCGAAGCAGCACCAGGCGATGGTTACACATGTATCGTCCTTATCCTGCCAAGTTTCTGTCCCTATGACATCGGTGGAGAAAGGAGAAAGACGTCCAGGAAGACGAGAAGCGCTGTTTCTCAGAAAGTTTCGCTCCATTACATTGACATTCAAATGCCTCCTCGGCTCCAAATCCAGCGTTCAAGGGCCGCGTAACCTGAAAACTCGCCAGTTCTTGCCAAGCGAGGATCTTTATGTTAGTTTATAAGAAATGAAACCGAATCAATAAAGGAGGCTTGAAGGCAGGGCCCAGGATCAAACTGCTTAGGTTCTTCGCAAAAAAAATGAAAGTATTAGTGCAAAATGGACCGGCAGTGAAAAAGATAAAGGACAGTGATCACGATAAGGTAGTGAAGCGCGATCGGCGGGGAAGCATACACCACAAGATAATTAACTCGTTTCAGGAAGCGAGATATGGCGCTCCTCATGACAAAGGTGACGCTGTTCTGAGTAGGACTTGAAGCACTCGCCCCCAAAAAAGCGATCCGCCCACTAGCTTTAGTTGGTGATTTGGACGAGCTGCGTTGCCAGCAGCGGCACAACTGGAGCAACTCGATTGGCCGTGGTTGCATGCTGCCACCAAACGCATTGCCGTGAACTCGTTCATACGTCCGATTTCTGAGCTGTTACCTGTTCATGAGTGAAAAAGAACGGCCAAAAAGGGGGTCCCGTTTTGCGTTTTCTTGACGGATTTCTCAGCTTTTTTCGCCACTGCGTGCCATAGAAGCACCATCACGGTCTCTTTTGAACCCTTCTCGAATCTATCGTTAATCGCTGCCTTCCAACATGACGATTGCTCATTTCCTAAAGGGGCTGTGCTGAGGCAATTAGAGACTAGAGCGCTGCAGAGGAGGGCGAGAGGGGTGGAGAGCGGTACAGCGAGAGGCGATCTGTGTGGTGGGGAACATTCCGCGCTGCAGCTAATTTTGCGAAGCCTAGCGCCCTTGTCGGTGATATCCATGCACGGGACTGCCCTATCTAAGATGTGTAAAAGAGCTCATCCAGAAACCACGGGATCCTTCACACAAATCGGTAAGTATATGTCACAAAGGATCGAGATTCGACTCCCTAACAGCAATATCCTCTCAAACTTTTTTGCTGTTTCGATATTTCCTATGATAATCTATAGACCACAGACATCTAGTAACAATATATTACCAACGTTGTCTTGAGTGAGCACCACCATCAATAAAGTAATCGACTAATCCAAGTGAGAGCACTATCTAGGTCTAAAACTTTATTTGACAAAAATCAATACCAAGTATTAGATACAAGATCAATCTGAGGATTGAGCCTCAACAATAATTGCTACAAGTGAAACACCGGAAAATCTTCACAGTTTAAACATAGCTTAGGAATAAAAGATCACATAAATCTATCAACAGAAATGAAGTCAAGATAAAAAGCGGAAAGCGTATCATTCAGGCATATTTGAGGAACATTAGATTCCAGCCCAAAACAAGTATCAAGGCTTAACAAATCAAGATACATCTCACAAATTTAAGGCAATTCTCAAGGTCAAAAGACTTCTCTCACAGCAATTGCTAGCCTTGATTACCTAACCGTTCATAGCCTAGTAGACAGCAAGAAGAGGGCAGTCTTAAGATAGAAGCATGCCGAAGGAAAATGGTAACCGTTACCTCTCATTTTCTCACTTTTTGGCGACCATACACTAAATTCATCGAAAAGTCACAACGCAAACGTCCAGTATATTAACCAATCATTTCCTTGAATTATCACTCTCTGTGTCGTAGCTCTCGAATACGCTGTTAATTCGTCTTAATAGAATGACTGAGGGAAAGCGAACGAAGAGAATAATGAGTTCAGTGATGGTAAAGCTTTTGAAAGACTCACAAGAATGCTGGGTTGTGAACAAAACTTTCGCCCCAGACGGGACTCGAACCCAGACCTTTTGCTTACCGGGCAAGTGCGCTACCAGTTACTTACTAGGCGCATTTTCATTATAGATTCATAAAAACAAGCTTTCAGACCACATACTTCCCATTCAAATAATATAGCACCACAAGGATATATGGGGGTCTCTACTACACTACTCTGTAAGCCTCGCCCAAATAATAGGTTCTTATGTTGCCGGACAAATACTGTACCATGAACTGACCAGATGGACTAAGAGTTTACGCCTCAATTATTGCCCATTCCGCGATCTAAACCTCACTAGCGGCTTGATCCCTGCGTATCACCATTGCGCATTCCTCCTAACCATTGCTCTATCTCTGCGCGTGATCATACGGCCATGTGCGTGTTCGTGCGCTTCACTGAGGACCTGATCTTTATATTGTACCGTTCACATAGATACGTAAATCTCAGCACGTTTTCCGCTAAAGTAAACCTGCCAATCGCCTGGCTCGTATGAGCTCTCTGCTTAATTGTATAAAAACTCACAATTAGTACAGGTTGCAATGACAGTAGGTGATTATACAGGTCGTCATTTTCCGGCTGGCGCAACCACTTTAGAAACACGTCCGTCATACCGTCCAAGTCCTGTAAAACTCAAGTACCCATACACATGCTGAGCTTGTTTTAGAAGGGCGCAAACTGTCAATACGATTGAAGATATAGCTTAAAGTGACATGCCATTAAGTCAAATCAATATTTTATCTCAAGAAAACCTCCAAATCAAGCAATCTAAATTCTCTCTCAAAAAAATTACCTTCGGCAAGATTCCTGTATCGTCGATCATGCTCTCCTCTATTGGTTCTTCACGTGGATCATTCAACGTCTTGTCTCCGAGATCAATAAAGTCGTCTGTAATTGCGCACAATTTTGAATTCACAGATTGAAAAGGAGAATGAAGTTGCTAAAAGTCTCTCAGAACACACTGTATGGGCGGACATTGCTCCCTTGTTTAGCCCCCCCCCCCTCTTTAACGTATTATAGGTACAAAAAGAATGCAACTTCAACAGAATCCCGGAAAGCAACTATTATTGGTAATGGTCTAACCCATATATGCGGGTCCCGATTCCTCAGAACCCCGTTTCCCTACATAGGAAGGTTGGCATCCAATAGACAGCTCTTTTCAAATTTTTAGGCTAACTCACCATCGTCATTGTCATCTACGCTTGACCTCTGAGGCTCAGATGTTGATGGTTTCTCAGAAACTGTCGCTGTAGCCTCTTTAGATGCCGTCACCGGCTTCCCTCGTTTTCGTGGATTTTTCGGCTTTGCAAAGCGAGATGACACCGGTGTGCCATCACCAGTCTTCTCAACAACTAGTGGCCGTACAGTCGGTGTGAATGGATCGATCTCTAATATATCTCGCATCACAGAAAGACTGAACTGCTCTCAATACGAGTAAGTCTGGCAGTGACTCACCAGGATGTACTTCTGTGTAGATCTGTTTCAGCATTGCAACCGCTCTTTTCCTACCCATGGGTTTCAAGCCGAATTTGGCCAACTCTCGCTGAAAGCGGCTAAGATTACCCATGAAAACTGAGTGGACCACTTACGAAGGGTTAGGTGAATAAGTACATTACTTCGATATAATCAAGTAGAGTTATCCCCTACCTTCAATTCGTCGTCACTCATGCCGTCATAATTAGGCATTGGCGTAATACCAGAAGTCTTGAGAATCTTCACATTTGAGCCAAACCTGAGAATGCGAGTTATGAAGCTTAGAAACTGGAGCTATTATGCTTAAGAAACGAATAGGAGCTTGCCCCTTCAATAAAGCAGAAGGACCTGAGCAATTTGAAAACCAAAACCCAATAAATATTGAAATCAAACTCACTTCGCCTTCTTCCTGACAGGTTGCACGGGTGTCGTCTGTTGTGACATCGATTGAATCGAGTCTACTGATTCATGTTCCAACGCGATCCTG